ATTCGACTTTTTTAATTGAAAGTACCTAAGATACCGTGGTCGTCGCAGATATGTGAAGCAGGTAGTAAACAGTTTTAACTTATTAAAATAATATCAAATTCAAACAGATAAACCTCAGAATTACCTATTATTCATAGTTAAAATAAAATACAGCTTCTCTGTTATCAATATTTTATCTTTCAGGCAAACAGATTATAATAGATATAACTTTTCAGCTTACGAAATGAATCATTAGTTATTAACACTAAAACTACCGAGGAATTAGAGTGACTTGTTTTCAATTTTTTATAAAACTTGGAACAATTTTCGAGATTCGGAAGGTGTCCCAGTCTTGTAACTGTGCAAATACACGAATGTAATTGAAAACCGTTCGCAAAAGCATCTTCCTAATTTAAATACTTGCAAAATGAAAATTCTGGTGTGGGTCCGTTTGACGCGTTCGGTATTTTTAGTATTAAGTACCTTTAATCGACGCAATTGCAACAGAAACGATAAAACAAGGGGTTAAAGGCAAACTAATTTTGACAAAGTCAATAGTGGAAAGAAGTCACAAGGCAAGAGCAAAGAACAAACTAGTTCCCACAAGTGCAACTGCAAAAAAAGATCACAAGGCGGAAGGTCAAAGCTTCTAACTCGGCTTTCCATTCGCAACAACTCGGCAGCAAGTGTATCAAGCCTTCCCACCAGTATTCGGCGAGGTTGACTGATCGTAAAAGCGACTTCGCTGGCGCACAGAGGCCCGGCGAAAAAAAGATCCGAACCAGATCTCCGGCTGGCAATACGCGCAGAGGCGTAGGCTTCGATTAATCCCACCGCGAAATTGACTCCATTATCGATTGCGAGAGCGATCGGAAAATCCAACGGAAATTACCGAGCATATTTCATTCGCAGGCTGCATAAAGAAGCAGAGACTCTACATGTAGGAAGCAGTGGGAACGCCAGATGCGTGGATGATCGCGTAAACTGGATGCAGGCCAACGTCCTGCGGGTTGCGCCATTGGGATCGTAGCGATCTTCAAGGTCGTCAATTGCACAGCTTTAGTCCTCAATGATGTTTCGCAAGAACGACCCATATAACGAACTTGACGCGACGCGTGGCGCCCACCCTCCTTTGATCTCCGGTGAAAGGTGCTCTCGCGAATCTCGAGGACGCTCGACCGTTTTATCGCGAGTTCCCTTTCTCCTGAATCGCGTCGTCGTCGTCGTCGTCGTGGTGCGGTGAAAGAGAACCTCGTGGAATCGACCCGCCCCGCGCCATTCTTACGGAAATCGGCTCAAGCGTGCGATACCGCAAAGATCGGGCAGAAACGAGTCGTTGCGTTGTAGTCCCTCGATATCCCAGAGCTAGATCACGTGGCCGAGAGGTAAGTATGGTGTAAGTAATTACAGTTGCACTTACATTCCGCGGGAACCGAGAAAACTGGTTTCGAACGGACCGCCCGGCTGCTCGGGCTGCGCCGATTACAGCCGCACCGCGGAAATCATATTTTACGAAACATCTATGGCGGCGCACACACCTCGGGCTACAACGACACCTGGCTGCTTGTAGGCAAAAAACGAAGATGAAGGGGGAAAAAGGGTATAGACCGAGATTTCCATCGGCACTTAGGGCGAAACTATGCGTCGCGGAACTTTACGAGCGAAGTTTCCGGTTCGGTTTTATCCTGACTCTTGTTTGCAAAAACTGTCCGATAGGGTATGCTTCTTTCTCTTCTCGGCGTTGTCGCTCTGCGAAACGTGCGTTTGATGTGTTGATCATCGAGTTGGAACTAATGGAAATTTTATAAAATAAGAATAATCTGCTTGGTGGAATAGGAAACGACACGTTGCGGTCCTAAATGATAATCGTTTTCTTCTACAATTGCACTGGATAAAATTATTTTGTCTTTAAGAGTTTATTAAAAACAGAATAGAATTCCGTGCTCGTCGTATGTCTACGGATACCGTAAAATGTGACAGAAGAACAATATCAAACTTGAAGTCGGAAGAACAACATTTATGCTCGTTACATTCCACTTGAATCTTTGTCACGAGTTTGATGTCGCCAAGCAAGTTAACTTCGCTATGCATTGTAGGTCTTACTGAAATTCAGCTCGTTCAGTAAATCACTATGAAAATGAATTTCCGAGTCCGATGAGAAAGTTGTCTAACCCAAATTCGGCTAACGACGAACGTGTTGAAGTTTCGAGAAAACGGAAACTTCTCCAAGGAAATCGGCACGAAACGGAAGTAATTTCTTGCGCCGATAGAGACGACCCCGCGACCCCGTGATTTTCATCGACGATTCGCTTTCGTCGACTCCCACCCCCCTAGGCTTTTGTTCGTCGAAAGAAGCAGATTTCCCGAATAGAAACATCGGTCTCTGTGGTGCGCGCAGGCTGCGGCGGCGGTGTAGGCGCATTAATAATGTAAGTGTGCAGATGGTGTGCAGTGAGTGCGCGGTGGCGCTGACTAGGATCAATGTTCCGTTCGCGATCTATATAGTATATAGTATAGTATATGTAACGATAACCGGCTGTACGAGGAACAACACCGTTACACAGGTTATTTCCGCGGAATGTGTATTTACAAATATTCCGATCAAACGCGGAATGGAATATCTAGTTTGGGAACGGGAGGAGTCGCGGCGAGATCGGCGCGGATTGCGTACCGTTCCGGAATTGTTTTAACTGGGATCCTTAGAAAAATAGCCGGTGCAGTTGGCGAAGGGGTGAATACAATGGAATCGATTTTCCCTGTTGCGGTAGATCGTAGATAAAAGAGTTTCTATCCGAACGTTGTCTGAAGGGAACCAGGGAAATTCGTGAAAGCTGAAAATGAAATTAAAACGAGCTTTCTGTAAATATCGCGAGTAAAATGGATCGCGAAGTTTCTGTTTTATTTTTTTGAATGAAAAATGAACAATTGTGAAGCTGGTTTGCATCGAACATTCGCTATTAAGGCGGTGAAAGATAAAAGAGTTTTTATCGAAAGGTTGTCTGAAGAGAACTAGAAAAATCTGTGAAAACTGAAAATTAAATTAAAATGAATTCTTTATAAATATTACAACTAAAGCGAATCACAAAATTACTGTTCGACTTTCCTAACATATACGCAATATTTTCACTTTCTTTTATCCGAAAGTCAAATACAAAAATAAAAAAATCGTGAAGCTAGTTAGCAAACCTCTATTATCCAACTGAAGCTAAAAATGACAGTATTTGATTTAAAATATCGGTCCGGCAAGCAGCCGTTTCCCTCGTTAAACGTTCTCGCGTAAAGAATCGGCCCGGGAACAGAATCACAGACGACGCGAGTTCACGCCAGCGGCCGCGAACGCGTTAACATAATTCCGAAGAATGTTTAAAACGGCGATGTACCGGATGAAACAGGAACGATTTCGATCAGCGCGTTACCTCCGGCTACCAGAAATAGCAACGGCGAACGAGGTGCACGGGTCCGCGTGATTGGCGATCGGGAACGTGTAATTTTTGATCGGCGTCGGTCGGGATATGGTTATTAATCAGGTATACGATTCGCAGGTGTATAATAATAACGTATTTTATAAATTTATTCACATGATTTAAATAAATCAAGTATACAGTTAAGTTTTTTTTACGACGCATGCGCGGGAAATCGCGTGTCTGCGTGTGTGGTGGTGGTGGTGGTGGTGTGAGTGTGTGTATGTGTGTTCGTGTGTGTCGCGAGGAGCGCGTGGTTCTCTCCTCGCTTCGTTTTCTCACTCTTAATTATCATCATCATTCCTTCGTTCTTCATTCTTACGCGACGAATAATATCTTACATGAGGCGACGTGTCTGAGATATACATATTTACATATCGTACAACATTCGATTCGGACATATAAAATTACAAAAAGGTCTCACTCTACCTAGTCGAGAATTCAAAATCGAAGCTAAAACTTTCTACGCGGCGCACGGGGGACGGTTCACGCCCCGGAACGGGGCCCGTTCGCGTTCCCGTTCTCATGATCGGTTAGATATGTACAATGTACATACGTACACATACGCTGACACGCGTACACAGCTTTTGCGGCCCTATTTACAAATATATTGCGCTTCGCTTCTTCACGGTTTCTTTCCTCTTTTCCTTCCTTCGTTCACTTCCCTCTCTCCATTCTCTCCCTTTCTCTCGTATAATAAATAATTACGACGTTCCAGGTGACAAGTGCGAATTCAACGGCAACATGTTTCGTTTAACGCGATTAAACTTAATGCGACTTTTTAACAAGTTGATTGCTATGACCATCGAATACCTGCGTTTTCGAATTGCTTAGAAACAATTACAATGCGTAAGATGATATCGAACAAATGTTTAAAAACACGTTATTAAATAAGTGATAACCGTTTCTATTTATCGTTGTTACGGAAGAATAAGTTACACATAAGGCGTTCGAGATTCTCGTGACAGTCAACGTATTAAATGATATTTATAAGGGAGAAATACATCTTTCTGAAGAAATAAAAAAAGAAGGAATTCAAAAAAATAATCTGGAACATTGGTAAATACATCGTTGGAACAAGAAATTTTTCGTAAAACGTTAAGTTCATCCTTGCCACCCGGAACACCCCGATACATATACACGCGTGGAAACGAATCGCCGTTTAAGACGATTACCCGGCGATTCCGCGCAAAGGAGACGGCTTGTTTATACTTTATTGCACAGTGGAAAAGTCGTCAAGCGAAGTGGAAGAGGGAATAGAAGAGTCCCAGTCGGACTAGGTTCTCGCGAGACGCCATTCAGAAATTCACATAGTACGGTTTTGCGCGCGCGCAATCTGTTCCTGCCTGGAAAGGGTGGAAGGGGACTGGGGAAGGGTCGGGGGGAGCGAG